TGAAAAACTTCATTATTTTGAATACGATGATACGTTGCTGATTTATTCAATGGGTGATATTTGCATAAGTTTGTGGAATTTATATCAAATAAAATAAGTGGAATTCTGGGAGACATTTGCAAGATCACGAGAACATGCAAAATTATTAACTTTTTGAATGTGTTCAAAAGTGACATTTTCAGTCGGTTGTTTCTAGTGATTTATTTTTTATTCAAAGACTGCTACAGTCAGTTTAAATTTTCAACAGTTTTTTAAATTTCTTCAATTTTTTCAACTATTCCTACCAAAATGACATTTTTCAAACTTTGTGGTTTTTTCTCAAAAAAGGTTTTTTGATGAAAAATTGATTTGAGTTCCACGGAAGTTTGTTTTAGTAGGAGTTTTGCGCGTACTTCCCTTAATACTGGCCTCAAGTGGAAATTCAGCAGAAAAAGCAACATAATATCAATGTTGGCATTGTATAGAAATTTCCAGGGCATTTAAGTTTGAAAAACCGAATTTTCGAAGAAAATATTTTTTGCTATGGACGTTTTTCTCTTTATAACTGTCTTCATCTTGGTTCCATTTGGATCATTAAGACTAGGTTGTAAAGAGCAACTTGATATGGATTTAAGTGCCAACCAAGCGTTTTCAGACACGAAAATCGCACTTTATTTAAACAAATAAAACTGCGTTGATATTCCCTAAAAATGACGGTTGAAAAAACTAAACTCGGTTAGAAAACTGGAAAGTTATAAGGTTTTGAAGGTCAGATATCCAATTTTTAAGCCAAAAATATTTTGAGTTTTCACACTTTCTGTAAATGCCAGATGCATGTAAATGGGGAAAAATATTTAGAATTGTTATAATTGAGGCAAATTTTATATGTATTGGAGAAGAAAATCGGAATATTTTTTGAACCTGAATTTTTGGAAAATAAAATATTTGCGCTCGCTTACTTAAAAATGCACATCTCCCAGACTAATACAGACAGGCAGTTGCATCTTTTACCATGTTTAGTCGACACTTGATCCGAGGACGTGGAAAGAAAAATCCATCTTCAACCTCATTTTTATCGGCTTTGTAAATGCGACTCACAAAATTGATGGTGTCAGCCGTCAATAGCGCCGAATTAAAAATTTGCCTCTCCCGCACTAAAGCACACAGGCATTTGGGTGTTTTATTTAAAATAAATAGTTCTGAGACGACTTCTGGTATAACCGGACGTCGCATAATGTCGTTGTTATTTCATCTGAAAAGAGCGTCTCCGAAAATCCCATTATCGAAATTTGCGGGATTTAAATCGCATTACTTCCCGAAATATTATAATGGACGCTGACCGTGAGACACCCTGTATAGACCGTTGAAGATACTCATACTTTCACAGAAGCTGATTCAGGGGAAAATATTTTTTCCAAAATTATTAGATTTCGGTAACGGAACGTAAGTATCTGATACTTATTGCACTATGCAGAGTGTATTAACTATTTAAAATTTCTTCTTCTATGAGTACAATTTAAGTATTAGAGCAATCCAACTCTGAAGATGTAAGCTACTTGTACTTGCGAAACGTCTAGAAGAAATTGTAATTCAAAACGGCCGAAAAAGTCACCAATTTAGTTCAATTTCTCGCTTGAAGGTAATAGTCTAAAGTCAGGTGATTGAACACCTCGCTTTCTTTAAGAAAATGTTTTCCGAATATCGTGTCAATTGATATTATTTTTATGCGCATAATACACACTTATAATCCCGAAGTATGAAACTGAAGCAATGTGCAACTTTGAGTTCAATTATTTTACCATAATTTTCATGTTTAGTTTCTGTTCAACGGTTTACGCTAAACGAAGTGGGGATTTAGATTAAGCCAAATAAATTCGTCCAAAAAATTCAGATGAAAGCAGTTTCCAAGATGAAAATATAACAATTCAAAGATAGCTGAAAATATCGTCAAATACAACAATTTTTTTCTTCAGTTTTCAAAGCACATTATTTCATATTTTCAGGTTTCGAAGAAACAATTGCTCAAAATGTGTACCATTAATTTCCTGGAAGTGGATTCCGGCAACAGTTCTGGTGGTATTTCAGTGATTCCTCTCTTATTTTATCCTGTAGGTCTGTTGGGTTGCTGGTATTTTAATGTAAACCTTTAAAATAACACGTTTTTGGCGTCAGTTGAAGAGCCTCGTCTGAGAAAAGTTTCAACTCTAGAGAGAAATGATGTTCTCTCTAAAAAAGTAGTTCTTGAAAAGCCTATATAAAATGCTATTATGGGCTATTTTTCTCATATCTAAATTTTTTAAAGTAGTTAAAATAACTCTCAAGGTTCTCCAACCAACCGATTCGGATTGGTATTGAACCTAAATGTGATCAGTACGATAGATACCGATTTCCACCAATTCTCCAACCAGCCGTCAAAATTATGGAGTTAAATTTGGAAAACAAACAATTTAAGGGTTGTTCTAGCTACTCCAGAAGGTGTGAATTTTTCATCTTGCTTGCAAAATGTAGCTAAGGGCCATTAACTGTTAACGTGCGCAGACAATTTCTCACACCTGCCCACTAGCGAATGGATTCCTGAAAATGTCTTCACCCTGTATATATATATATATAAATAATCTTTATTTCCTACAGAAAAAGGCTATCGACCCAATCGGTCTTTCTGCCCAACCTGTATAACCCTTATAACCCTGTATAATATAGTTGATATATAACTTTTGGCTGGAAGCCAAATCATAAAGGCTTCTCCGTTTAGAAGTTAACGACAAGGGTGCATTTATCTATTTCGGGTTTAAGAATTTGTGTACAATTTATTGTGGTGTTGCTTTAAATTTTGTCGAGTTAACAGGATGTACTGATTAATATTGTCATTCCCAAAATACTGACGTTGTACATGGAGACGGATCTAGAAATTTCGATTAGCTAAAGGACACAATTATATTTATTCAGACAAATTATTTGGCTTAAGTATTGTAGGAATCGATTATTTAACGGAAAGGGATTATGTGTGAAAAACGTAATTTTTTATTTTAAGTGGCGGGAAAATGCAGCGATAGCGTTTTTTGGTCAATATTTGCAGTTTTCCGAATTATACATTTTCACTTCATTTGCTAAATTTATTTTAATTATTAAACATTTGTTTGCAAACAGTGATTTCAGTTAAAAATTCTCGCTCATTCATTTCTTACTAAAACTACTGATTTTAGATGTATTGTCTTTGTTCCAATCAGTTCAAATTGGCTTTATATATTTTTTTCCAGTTTTTTAGATTTAATGGAATGTAGCATTTTTTATCTAAAATATATTTTATGTAGTCGTCAATTAACCAATCTTATCCAAATTTGATGATTTTTTGGTATCATTTCCACATACAAATTTTACATAACAATTTTTAAGTTTGATTATAATGAAAAAACTGTTAATTTTTATTTTAAGACAAAAACACTTCCAAAGATAAATCAGTAAATCACTTTGTTCTTGGAAAATATTGTAATTTTTCTAAGTACATGTATGTATATGTATATATATTAAAAAAGATGAAAGAAAGATATTACAAATTATCGATAATTTTTGGTATTTTGGGATTTTATCTGGGACACAAAACCATCAAAACTCGTTTTTTTTTCAAAAAAGTTTCGACAAATAAAATAGCTTCAAACACTAAAGTAAGAATTCGACGATTTGTGTGGTTTAGTATTCCTCTATTCCTTGCGCATTTCGGTTGAAATTTTATTCGAATTATTTAAAAATGCAGTCTTCATTATTTTTGCGCAAATTTCTAATTCAATTTGCGGCTTTGAACGGAATTGGAGAATAGTAATACAAGTCGGAAGGAGAAATCCATTTCTCGTATTTACGTAGTTTTATTTTTACATGTGCACATATACACGTGCTATATATATTTTATGTATAGTTATTCTCGAATTTTTCATCAAATCAGATCAAAATAAAATCTTTACTTACAGAATTGCAGAATCGCGTTAACGCACCATAAAAATATACTCTTTTTGCACTCAATAAAGTTCTACAGAGAAAATAAATTAGGTTTAATCATTTTGTGTAAATTTGACTATTTTCATAATATATTTCTGGTATGATGATTTGTTATATCTTATGTGCCCTAAAATATCATCCCATATTTCTTCCTAGGGGCTCGTTTTCACACCTGTATTTTTTTCTGTTTCAAATTGGACACATGTAATCGGTTCTACAACTAGATAAATTTACAGATGTGTACTAACATATTTATTTTTTAGAAAAATGTAGTAGATCAGTCAAAAAGCTACAGCAAAGTCAAGATTCTTTTTCTTAAATTGGAGACCCTGTATGTTAGTGAATAATTGATTTATTCCAGACATTCTTAACAAAAATCGTATAACAAACTACTTGCTTAAATTTACCAATTTTGAAGATATCGAGTTGTTAAAATTGTTTTTCCTGTAATTTGCTAAATTACTAGATGCAGTATTTAAAATTTTGTACAAACAGGAATGGCGAAAGAGAAATAGATCGACCTTATAAACAAGATAATTTTCGTGACTTATTGTAACTTGGAAGTCTTGAAAATTTTGTGGCCTATTCTTGTAAACGGCATTTTTAATATTACCCCACAAAAAATGTCAAGTGGAGTCAAATCGGGAGACCGAGCTGGTCATTGAATTGTCCCCTGCGACTTAAACGTGCCATTTTAAACTTCAAATACTTCACAATAATTCATATATAACTAAATTTTCACAGTCGTATCAATGAAGGATTAACTGTTTAAATCAAAAGAATAACTCGGCGTTGTAGTAGTGACCTAACATTTCTAAGATAACTACGTAGATGAACAGTGGTTTTATATTGGAGTTTATAATTTGGCAAATTACATCAAAATATAACAGCTCGATATCTCCAAAACGGTTAAATTTAAACCTGTAATGTGTTATGCGATTTTTGTTTAAAACGTGGAGAATAATTCAATTATTGTGTTGCTGTGATCTTTTGATTGATCAAGTATAATAAATTTGTATTTATATAAATAGACTGGACATAATCTTACATTTTTTGTATTAACCGTTTTATTCTAGGTATCTTAGTTCAGGAAAAAATTCACCGTTTCCATGCATAAAAGCGACCCTGGAATTTTTCCACAATAAAACCTAAATCTACATGGTACGTTATTAAAGTAAGTAATAAGTTTTGAACGCATTTATTATAAAATAACTAACTACTTACTGTTCGGTTCATAATATAACTTAATAATATAACTTCGTCCAATTATGGAGGTCAGTGTTTGAATCAATAATTCTCGGAATTTACTCCAATAACTTTTACTTCCTTAAAATTTTCTGTTCTTAAAATACTTATTTTATAGAAGATATTGGATATTTGGAGTTAGTACGTGTTGAAAGTAAACCCTCACGTTTTTAGAGAAATTAGGAAATATTCCTAGAGAAATTAAAAAAATATATATATTATATCGTTGAACCAGGTGCTTCTGCATTACATTTTGGAAAAAGCCAACAAGACACTGATGATGAAGACTGCTCTAGCAAATAAATCGAGAAAAGTTGTTGACAAAAATTAATTAAAATTACAGGTAATTCTGTTGAACCCCATCAAACAGTATTAGCTTATCACATAATAACTACATAAATAAAATATGTTGAAACTTACATTTTTCAAGATTCCGTTGCACTGAAACGAAGGAACTATTTGAAGAACAAACAAAACGGAAAAAACTAAATCACAAAACAAAAACCGATCGCGATTTTCTGTTTTTCTGTCAGCTGAAAGACGCCATTGCCGTCGGCCGCCGTCGAGACGGAAAATAATCAATAAAAGTACGTTAGAGAAAGTTAGAAACGGTCGCTAAGCAACCCTCGAGCCAACTTCATCCCTTACGGAACATGTACGGAGCGAATGGGGTGTGCGTTGAAAGGGTGGTTTTTTTACTGTTTGTTCATTCGAGTGTCGACCTCAATTTCTACATGTGCTGATTATGGTAACCATTTTAAAACGTTTAATTAAAAAAAAATAACTTGGTTAATATCAAGGGATGATATGGGGATGATGAAAAATGTACGGCGACAGCTCTGAATGGAACCGCGCGCAATTGTTCAGTGCCGGATTTTATGAGCGGTAGCGAAGGAAATGGTGTTGAACATTGCAATTTAATACAAGAAAAATGGAGAAAGTAAAACAATAATTCAGAACTGTAATAAAATAGCAACCGGAATGAGATGAAGAACATGTTAGAATAGAAAACATTGAAGCTTCAAGTTGAAATGAAAGAATGATTGAGAATTACGTTTTTTGGATTGGCTAATTCACTAAGTTTATGTGTTGTGCTTGTGTCACCAAAGCATTAACATCGAGTTAACCCCTTTTTGTTTAAACTTTGCTATGTTACTTGCAAAATTAGAAAACCAAATATTTTGAAACTGCATTGAATTTGACCTTAAAGACTTTAAATTTGACCGTGCTAATCTGACCATATCGGGCCGCACAGTAGAAATTTTTATTCTTCCTGCAGAAAACCAAGTTATACATATTTAGGCTCTAACAGCTCTAAGAGATAATCGATTTAAATCAGTTTGATAAAGTTTTTCTAGATGTGTATTTTTGCAAATAAGAATCTAGAGAAGGAATAAATACAACGTAGCTAAACGAATAAATATTTTTTAGATTTAAAAACTATTAAAAACTAGCCAGTTAATATCGGATAGATATTGAAAATCGGATAGATATTGGCTTCGATAAAACTCTGTAAGTCAAAAAATGAAGATTAATATTCAGGAAACAGCGGCTACAAAGATGAAAATTAACATGAATAGGCTTCATCTTCGAATCGATTGAATCTCTAGTCAATTTCGCAGTTTGGATATCCGAAGGTAGATAAATAAAATTTTACTTCTCCAAATATGAGACATAAGAGAAAGAAGGCAAGAAACCATCATATTCATGATTACCATATTAAATTTATTATACATTTGTTATTTTTGTGCAAGCAAAAATGTAATAGTTAAAACGAATAAATATGAATATTAAATGGACAGTCTGGATTTAAAACATTTCCAAAATTCGCCAAAAATTAGTTAAACGAAGTGGTTTTTATAAAACTCAAAATTTATGTCCGAAAATAAGACCATCAGAAACAAAAATTAAGACAAACAACTTAAAACTAACAATTTTCTAAAATATAAAATAATTTATATTCTGTCTTTAGTGAAGTCTTTTAGGAAAATATGAACCTAATAATGTGAGCTTTGATATGGAAATAAAACATTCAGAACATTCGTTAATTTTAAAACCATGATAGAGATGGTTTATAGCAAATTCAAAAAATTATATGTTTTTTTACAGTGAAAATTACAACAATCTGCTCTCAAAGCAATAAGCATTTAGCAAATATGAATATAAAATTCAAGCGTTTTTTTGTGTAATGAATCGATTGTTCGAAATCCACCTACGTTGGAGCGGCACTAACAGTTTTTTGCCTATAAAACCGAAAATGTTGTCATCTATTTTAATCGCTTGGTTCAATATTGAATTCTTTTTTAGATTTTAAATTATTTTACACAAAGAAAAGCCGTCAATTTTTCTCCTACTTACTACCTTTAAGAAAAATTGTTTCAAATTCTGAATAATTAGAAAATTTCCAGTATAAAAGTTAAATCTGCTAAAATCGATTTAAATTACACAAAAATTAAATTCGCTACTTTGAGTTAAATTACATTTTTTCGTCTTTCATGGAACAATCAACTGTTACCTGTATAATAAAGTTATTTAAAGGGAGGTCGCAAAATACTATTTTAAACTCTTGTGTAACGTAATGAATATTTTCTCGGCAGAATGGTGGACGATTTCGTATAAAGTCCGATGGAAAACGTATTTTCCTTATCTTATACCTCAACGAACTAAATTATTTTTAAATTAATGTATTGCTAACAAAAAGTTAAACAAAGTGAAAAGTTAAATTTCTCTTACGCAACAATTTTAAGTTTTAATAAAATGCTGATACTGTTTATTCACATGCATTAGACAAGTGACCGTTTATTTGAGTTCAATCAGAGTTAAGAAAGAATGTTTGTTTTTGCTTTTTTATCCAGAGATATGATTTCTCGTTTTCGAGATTTTAGCGGTTATACAAATTATAAACTCTAAATCTGATCATTTCCTCGCGTTTTAGGCTGTCACAAAAATAGTTTTTTCTGTTCTTGCACAGAAGCTTTAGGTAGAAAAAGCTTAACTCTGGTTCTTCTACTTCTAGATACTTCAGGAACTATTATTGTATACATTAGAATATTAATTATTATTTAGCTTGGTACAATGAATTAAATACTTATCAGCTTCGATTTTTCCAAAATTTTCAACTCAACATTTTATTCACTTTTTGCTTCTTACATTAATCTTAAATTTATTTTTTTAGTTATTATAGTTTTAAATATATTTTCCATTAAGAAGATATGATGTGATATGTAACAAGATTGGATTATAGAGATGGTCGTTTTCTCTTCCTATCTATTACAGCGATCGACCAAATGTTTCAGTTGCCACGTTTTAATGGAAATGCATTTTGATTAAGCCAATTTTGCTTTGAAATCTGATGTTCATTCTCCGGCTATTCGGAATGCAAATTGCCAAAGTAGTTTTAATCCTTTAGTGAATGGTGGCTGAAAACGGCACAAATCTAAATTTCTATGGCGCGTGTATAATACGGCAGATAAAACCCATCTTCAGTAATTAATTTAAAATACCATTTTATGTTAGAATTGTTAGAAAAAGACACACGATTTCGATAAACTTGCATACATTTGCTGCGTCCTTTCTGTGCATATTTTCTAAAAAAATTGGTATTGGGAAAATTAAAATCCCGATTCCATTTGCGGGATACAAACAAAAGTCCTGTTTCAGACTAATAAAAGAAAAAGTCGTTTGCAGAATAAAGCCAACTATTACCTGAATAGACACAACACACTTCAAAAGTAACAATTTCCATTTACCTTATCCTCGGCTTCTTCCGCCCTGCCTTCCGCTTCCAATACTCTTTGTTCCAATTCGGAAAGCTGAAATAAAAATAGAAGCATATTAGGTTTCATTTTAAAAATAATCTCATTTCGTTTAAGAGTTTTCGATCATTTCATACATATTCTTCTTAACAAAATAGTTATTTTTTTATGTTCCAGGTTTGCTTCATTTTTGGTTGTAATTCAAATAGCAGTGAAATATTGCAATTTATTTCAATTATTTTCGCATCCAGTCCGCAATAACTAATAATTTGTTGTGTTTTTCAAAGTTGCTTTAATCTAAATAATTTCTAAAAGTAAACAAAATGTCTCGAAAGTATTTGAATATTGTGCGAATTAGTTGTAGAATGATCAAAATTACTTAAAATTACAAATTTACCGCGTGTGATTTCTCGTGATAATCCTTCTCAATGTTGAATTTGATTGTAAGATTTGGGAATAAAATAAATTTACTTTTTGTGATTAAAATTTGAAAACTGAAATTTAATATTAAAATTAAAAAACCTGTTGAACTTACAAAGCTGGTTAAAATTATTCTTGAAAATTGCCCTTCAAATTGTGATTATTATGCGACATCAAAAATAGATTTATTATTATGTCGGCAGCTAGCTGATTTTATAAATTTTCCGGGTTTATTCTAAGACCAATTAGCCGTTCATTAAGACAGATGAAAGCCACCCAGTCTGATTTAATTAAGGTAACCGAGCAAGCAGGATACATCTAACGGGATTTCTGCTACCCGACTTGTCTTCATCCAAACATTTAATAAGGTTTAACGAAGATTATCATCCGAGGGACGCATTTGATTATATGCCGTGATTCAACTCGTAAATACTTATTACAACGAGAAATTGTCCCTTTTTGAGACCTGTTATAAGTAACGCGGTTTTTGCGCTCTGCTAAAAGCAGTTAGTTATATGGATGAAACCATGAAAGTTTCATGTTCCGTTATCATGCTAATAATATCACTAGAACCCTATGCTTTTAGTACTTACCAGTCGGTTATGAAAATTTCTATTGAAAAAATGTTTAATTAGTCTTATACAACCTTATACTTCATTTCAACGGAAGTGTAAATTTTTTCTCAGGATTTCACAATTTTTTCCTCGTTATCTTTCTGAGTATACGAAAAATAATTTTGAATAAACTTTATGTAATTTCAGGTTTTTCAGGTGACAACGAAAATAAAGACATAAAAATGCATTTAATGAAACAATTTATTACATGAAATAACGAAATGTGATGATATGTGAAAGTGCGAAATGTTAAATACAAAACTTTTTAATAATTAATTTGATGAAATGAACGATGAGTGCTCAGATTGCAAAAAAGACGTGAAAAAATGTATGCGTTTGAATGCAATATTTTTCATTGTAAACATTATAAATATTTCAGCATCTAGATTGCACAATACACAATAACTAAAACATTTTAATTCGTTTAAATTTTTTTTTATCAAATTAATTTTAACAATTTTATTCGTGTCACTGTTGAACAGCAACTCATAGACTTCAATAAATCAATTAAATTGCTCACGCCAAAGAAAATAAATTTATAAAAAAAAATGTTTTGCTGTTAAAGTCTAATATATCCGTGCTCAATCAAATTAATAGACTCTTTCAAAATAATAATTATTTTAGCTTTTGCAATTAATTAGCATTTGCAATTTCCGACGAATAAATAATAATAATATATTTTGAAAGCACATCCAAATAAAATTTGTACAACTACCAAAACAACATTAGTCGCTAGAATTATGGCAATTTTACCCATTTTAATAATTTCCTACGGTTTCAGATGTTATTTCAGAAAAAAGTTTCGATTCTACGAACAAGATGTACATCAGCACACGCACAACATTTGTTTCATTTCACCTTCTCATTAGTTGCTATCGGCATAATTTTGCCAAATCTTGATAATTATATAACAGTACATATAATTGTTTATTTAAAAAAGTTAAAGCAAATATTCAATATATTTTAAGTTTGCCGAGAAAGGGGAATAGTTTTCTTTTTGGTATAAAATAGTATTATGCAATCTGTAGAGTTAGCTATTATTTTTCTGAATTCAGTTCAGATTTAGTCTCAGTTGCGAACTGTGAGGAATCAATATATCCAGATTATTCACACACCCCGACATCTAGTAGTCAGCGGTCTGGTTAAATATTTCCTAGTTCGGAGAAATTTTTGAGATGACGCTACAGGAAAACATTTCACTACTATGCCTATGAAAAAACTCTTCAGAAATGCTAATATTTAAATATTTCGGATCTTTCAAGAATCCGTATATTAGGTACAAATAAGAAGGTGTAATCCTTGTTTGAAATAAATGTTCACAAGTATTTAGACTAATTTTTTGAGAAAAGTGTATGTTTCCAAGGTAAATACATTAAGACAGTGTTCAGTTTCTCAATTATTTTAGAGGCAATTGAAAATCGGGGATTTTGAATTATGGTATAGTGGATTTGTAAATAATTTTGACTGGTCAAAATTTTTATGTAAAGTGTTCCATAATTCGCGTCCTTTTCTATATAATATTATAAACTTATTAAGGAATTCATTCATATCACTAGAGCAGTTTTCTGCGACATTAACATGGAAATAATAAATTATATACGACATACATTCGATTTACTCAATACGCCTTTATATTTCAAATTCGTTCTGCAATAGAACATGATAGGAATTATTTGCTGAGAAAATCTATATGACAAATTATTCAAGCGAAACCCATTGTAGAAAAACGTTTGAATGGCCAGCAACAACCGAAAATCGTAAAAAACCATTTTGGGTTTGTGTAATTCGTGAACTCTACTAACTACAAAAATGTTAATCAGTAACATCATCAAACTAATAAACTTTATTTTTGTGGTGCCTAAGGAAGAAAACACTGTAGATTATTTATTTACAATTTCGGGATTTTATTGGCTTTAAGAATTGAGGTCAGTCTGTAAGTTGATGAAAAATGAACAGCTTTCGCGTTAAATTGTATGGTTTAGAAATAAATTTATAAAAATAATAAATAAAGTGTATTATCTTTTTGAGATTCAAAAATACTTACTAGTATACTAGAAAAATAACTGTTTTTCTGTGAATTATACAACAGACAGCGTTTAAATCTAATGAAAAAATGTACGTATCACTAGCAATATATTTATTAATGTTTCATATCCCTTCGTTCGATGTAACCGACTTTTATTCAAAAATAGCGCCCTTTTTTGCAAAATTTAGCAAAAAATACCATAAACCATGGCATTAACTCATTTTTGAATACCATCCTTCTATCAACTGGCAAACTCAAATCTAACTCAACTTTTCTAACTAGAAATTTGAACTGTAAATTCAAATCCAATGTACAACTCATGCATTAAAAAAATGTTGACTATTATAGCTCTTGTTACATATGCATCCTGACACATACTATGTATTATTACAACACTAATTAAATTTAATATAAATTTCCTACATAAGAAAATGTGATATACATTTGCATGTAATTATATAGCGAAAAAATCACAACAGCATTAAGTATTACAGAAGGTATAAAATAGTTGAGATAACAATAATAAAATAGTGTAAGTAATTGTAAAATATGTTGAATGTCAAATGTAAATTGTATATACTTTCCTGACTGTGTTTCAATTCCAAATCAAAATTAATTCTTGGGTTTCAGTCATTTATTGTCTTTATTTATCAATTAAAATACGTTTCGGTGTATTTTTCCACCATCATCAGTTTTTACGTGTAGCGTTGTTGTTTT